TAACAGGGAAGTGAAAGTGCAATGGGAAACATGCAACTGATTACATTTAAACATGAAAGAAATATTTCAGATCCATTACGAATTTTCATGCTACTGAAAGCTCGACATGATCGTTGATTAGTTGATATGCTGCTAAAAGAGCACTTCGAGATTATGGGATTTACCATTCCTTTTTTAAGTGACAGCGTGACAAACTTTCTTTTTTCTTTTTTCCTATTCAGTGGAATTTTAATGGCGTTGAAGTTAGCAACTTTGGTTTTCCTATATAAAAGTATAAACCATTGAAATGCTGGCAATGATCGAGAATTATGAAAATATGGATGGCTGCTTAAATTCCTCACATCCAAGTGTTGGTTTGACCCATGAATAACTATTATTTTCGACCAATTTTAGCACTGTTTCAACCAAAATCCACCGTAACAATCAATTTTGATTTTTTAATATTTGTTATGAAATGCTGATCAATAACTAGCAGTATTTATTGGCAAATATTGGAACATGCATTTCTCAACTATGTTTAGGCAGTTGATTTTTTTCGCATTTTTTGGACGTATTTCACAAACAGAAAGATTATATAATGTACACTTTTGTTATCACTATCATTATCGTCATCAATAGCTACCTGCCTTTCGTTGATCAAAATTCAACAGTTCCTTCCATATAAGAGCTGAAATGCTAAGGAAGAATAAGTGATGAGTACAGAGTTCGCATCAGCAGGAATAGAAAAAAAAACAGATTCGGGATTAATCTTTGACATATACTTATCCTAAATTCACTTGGACGAAGGTCAGAAACTGTAACAATTGCGTTTAGATCGATTAAGTAAACAGTTTAAAATAAGTGATCATAACAAATCAGCATACCATTACCCGAGAATCACATCAGGAAGTCTTCTTTACATATCCAATTTTTCACGAGATATTTAGTCCGACGACATGGAAAGTCTTCAGGTTTGTTAAATTTCAAAAATGCATTAATTGGTAGTTCAAAGCAAATCTCCCCACAAAATTTAGGTTGTTAGAAACTTTATTGCTTTGAATCGACAAATAATGATAAACGAACGATGATTACCTTTCCATTCTGCAACTGTCCGACCATTTGATCCTTCATCTAGAATAAAAGGCCCATCTGCTACTGGCTCGTCTTCCGGCATTGAATATTCCTTTAGGTAAGGATGGCTGAGTGCATCGGTCACCGTCATTCTGAAGGTGACAAAAAATGTCGATAACTTCAGGAACTTGTAAATTTCTTCCAGATTGAATCCTCAGAAAAATTCAGAAAAACTGAAGAATTACTGTGTCCTGTCATACGCCAAACAAATCCACCAACCTTTTCTCAGGGTCCAACACAAGAATCCGATCCAGAAAGTCAACAAGATGTTTGGAGAAAGTTTTGGGGAAATATTCTGAAAAAGATTTGCGCGAATAAACACCCAGTTTCGTTATAACATTAAGAATGGCTTCATTCGAAGCCAGTTTAGCTAATAATTCTGAATCCGGGCTTCCACATAACTCTGCTATTAGACGATATTGCGCCATTGCTGAAAATTACATATTTAGCAGATTTGAAATAGGTGGAGATTTTGCAAAAAAGATAAGAACTATAGGATCTTCAAGTATAGATTTTGGAAAATGAAATCCGAAAACCAAATTCTTGACAGAAGATTTAAATTCTACACATTAAACAAAAAAGAAGTAAAAATTACAATCTTCTCCGGGAAAGAGTGGACGTCCAAGGCTAAGTTCTCCAAGAATACAACCCACAGACCACACATCAGCTAAAAAATTCTTTTCAATCAATGAATAATCTAGCAAAAACAACTTCTAAATAAGATCTATCGTAAAAGTGTCTTTTTGTTTTTACAACAAAATACCTGCTCCAGTTCTTACAGCGTTTTTATAACAAAATATCTGCTCCACTTCTTACAGATGTTTATCTGCTAAATTCAGAATATATGGACTAAGATTATACTACCGAAAAACGAAAATTGGATGCATCCACAAATTGTTACGATAATAGAAGAGATACTTCTTACCTTGCGTATCGTAAGAACATATCTTCCAATACATAACTTCCGGACTACGATACCAACGCGTTATCACATATGCAGATAAAACAGTATCGTCAGCATTTAATGAACGAGCCAAACCAAAATCCAGAACTGATAAATCACATTCGTCAGTAAGAGCCAAATTACCTGGTTTCAAATCTCGGTGCATAACCTTAACGAAATTAAGTGAAATTTGAAAATTATCTTTTCCAACTTTTTAAAGCTGCTAACAACATTTTAAAAACTAATTGCAGAGAATCCCGAAAAAATTACATTTGCCGAATGGATGTATTTCAATGCACGCAACAATTGATAAATAATAAATTTATGATGTTCAGGAGTAAGGATTCGTAATCCTGTCTCACGTTCCCGTTTCAAAATTTCATACAAACTATTACCAGCATATTCTGTCACAATATACCTGAAGTAAAAAGCTAAAAGGTATACAAATACTGAAGATGTTATCCAACTAATGTATAGTAAGAAACCTAATTTCCCGAACTGATCATTCAAAGCTAGATGAACTGATCCTGGTCAAGTTTCATGGCCAATAACGTAGATAAGTAGTGCAAAACAAGAAAAATGAAAGTTTATTTGAAGGAAAGTTGGGTAAAAAGTAATATGCAAAAATAAAGAGGTGAACTGCTTCGGGACATAAAAGTCCATCATCCACAAGCTACAAAATCGTAGAATACCTTCCTTTTTCCCTACATTTTTTCCGTACTTTGACTTTTTCTAGAACTTGCAATCTCTAACAATTTAACAGAATAGAGTATAAGTTCAAGTTCTCTGTAAGCTTTTTTTGTAAAATAAGGTACTGAAAAGCAAATTCTAAAGAAGTCCACCTAAGTCCCCACGACTTATCCCATCTGAATATTGTGAACTTACACAATGGAAAGAGTAGGAAGTGAACTATCGGGTGTATATAAATCTAAAAGGCGCACAATATTCTCATGGACCATCATTTGAAGTAGACGAATTTCTCTGAAATATTGAAATAAATTTGGACAGTTATGGTTTAGTTGAAAAAAAGAACAAGTCGTTCACGAAATATAAGGAACCTTCCTGTTTAAAATTTATAGCGGCTTATATTAATATCTTACCATTTCCAGTGTAAATACATCAAATTTTGATTGTGAAGATATATGCTTCGCCAAGAAGAATGATCCTCTCATATTGTTCGGGCTTATTAGCCTGAACCAAGCAGTTTTCGAATTCCACAGCATTTCTACATCTCACGCTTTCTTTTGGAGAATGATGTTAAATGACAAAAGCATTCTAAGATTTAAATTTCTTACCTGTATACTCTCAGTGCAGTTTTTTCATCGCGAAATGGTTCATATAATTTTTTAATTGCAACAACTCTTCGTTGACCGTCGGCACATATGAAGTTTGTAATTTTTCTGCAAATTCCTCGAAAGTCCAATATTATGGTTATGAAATTTTCCAGTTATATTTTCCAGAAATTAAAACGTTCCAAAACTAAAGGAAAAATATGTTATAAATACGTACATGACGTTGCCAAATGAGCCACCTCCCAAATATTCAACTGTTGAAAGTTCATCTGTTGAATCGGATGGTACTGCAAACTCCACCGTTTGCATACTGAAATAGCGGAATTGTCGAGTAGGTCTTTGACTTGATGTCAAAAACTGGCTAGTGTTTTTCAAACCTAAAATTAATGACCTGTAGTCTCCATATATTTGCGAACTCTTGTTGATGTTTTCATTTGTTAAAAACTGATACGAAATGGATCATTACGATTTTTTCTGATATTCTCGCCATGTTACCAGCACAAATTGTTTAAACATTCCAAACACCGGACATATTGATGTCGAGCACTACTTTTTCTCCACAAAAATATAAAATTTACCACAACTGGTCATTTTCTCCGATGAATCCGATCACAACAATAGCAAGACATAATGGCTATGAATTTTTGAAAGGACAATACAATAGCGAATGATTCACTCACCGTTACTAGTGAAAGACTGCATAACGTTTTATCAAATACCAATCGCTGTATGTCCCCCAAGAGTTGGTTCCTATGTTTGCCTGATGAAGTTTTTAATAAAGATTCGTAATACCACTAAAATGATTCTTTTCATGGGAATTCCTGAATTTAATTTTAAGGGGAACTTACTTCCCACTCACTTGCTGATCGAGATGATCAAAATGGATGGAAAGGACCAGTTTTTTAATTGAGCACGGAAAACTGAATTAATCTCATTTCTATTTATATTTACCTCCGGAAACCAATTTCTCAACTTGAATGTGCTTCCCACTGAGTTCCGGGAAAAGAATCATCCACCTGTAGGTTTCTTTTCCAAGAGCTGTGGTATTATTCGGTAGAACAATCGATTTTTCCCAATTCTTCAGCATCAAATAGCTGGACGGAAATTGTTATGTGAAACCGGTTGGACGAAACGACAGATAATCTAAAGTCCGACCTTCAAATTTCAACCTTTTCTTTTAAATTTGATAGCATACATTCGAAATGAAACGGAAGAACTTGGGTGCCAAAATATAATGAAATTCGACTGGGAAATGGTTTGGTTGTTTATGGCATCACCAGAATTCACTGAACTGTTTATTGAAAACCACTAATTAAGGATCTAATTCAATATATACTCGAAATGAAAAATTGGAAATCTTTCCAAATTCGAATGGATAACGTAACTTTCCTCGTCGATCTTAAAGTCAAACTTAAGCATTCTATTGCACTACAAACGATTACTAAGTATAAAGCATCAATATATACATTTCAGTTCCAATGTCTGAATATTTCATTATGTTAGAACTAATTCAATGCGGGAAAAAATAAAAGATGAAATGCATAAAGGCAAAAATAAAAGATGAAATGCAATATATTAACGTTCAGTCACAGAAGCTGGTCCGTGAAAGATTTTATAGTCTTTTTTCAACGCTTTTAGAATTTGAATTTATTTCATCAAGTGTGTCGACTTCTCTCTATTCTTGTTGAAGAAGCAGCTAAGCTTCTTGCTCGACGTGGAGCTTGCACAGAACCATTCGAAAATTTTCGAGTACCCGTCAACGAACTAGCTCGTGGGTTTTCTTTTACAATATCCGTTTGTCTGAAAAGAATTATTTCAGCTTTACGTTCCACAAAGTCTCAGAGATTTGAAAAGGATCCTTACATTAACTTGTAAAATTTTGTCAAGCAAAAAATTACACTGTCGCAGAGACGGCGCGTAAAGTATTGTATGGACTAGCAAAATAGGAACTTGATGATCGATCATGCAACGATAACGTAGAACAACCAGGCATTCTACAAAATAAGGATTATATGTAATAAAAAAAATAATAAGGATTATATGCAATAAAAACCACAGCAATTACTGGAACTTTTAAAATCTATCACCATTTTTAACCTTTCTCCAAATGGCGCTTTTTAACAAATTTTTTTGTTCGCGCAGTGTAACATATCTTGGGGCGTTGATTCAATTATATGTTTTTCACAGTCATCAAGATGCCACTGTCTTGACAGCTGTTTCCAACCCCCAGCGTGTTCTCCACCTAATCTATCCACTGGTCGGCAGACGACGAATCGACAGATATTCATCACTTTCATTTAATATTTAATGTTTTATTTAATCATCTGAAAAAGAAAACCCTACCGGACAAACTATACGTTTAGGGGAGAAAAGATTGCTTAATCAATACAAAAACTAGATTATTTAATGAGACTAACACAGGTGGATATAATTTTAACTCTGATTTCGGACTGAACACCGTCATTTGAGTGTACTTGTTTTCCAGAACTGGATATGCAGGTGGTGGCATCGACTGGTAAGGAGACTTTTCGTAAACACCAACAGGTTCCGAAAATATCATAATTAATTAATCATATGAGCATTAAGTAAGCAAGGAAAATTTCTTTCACACATGTATTGGTTCTGGAAATTGTCTCATGACGTAAAGCAAATTGAAGTACAAAATCTGCAAATTCAGCCAATTCTTATGGACTTAAGGACAGTTCATATCCCATAAGGGATAAATTTTTGTCTTTATTTTAAACAAAATGCAAAAAGGTATTAATGCTAACAAAAATGCAAGAAAACAGAAGTATGGCAAAAACATACCCTTACGGCTTGCTTCAATATCGTGAAACGTGGCCGTCCAAATTCAGCACTGATATCCTCACTCAAAATCTAAATAGAGTGATAGAATTAAAACACATTTGATAGGGAAATACTTGCAAACAATAACACTGAAAATTTCAATAAAACGCAGAAACGATTCCTATAACGTACCTTAACCGATAATATTATACAGACCAGTGATACAAGCACCAGGATACCACCACAAATGAGGAAAACTGAACCAGCTAATTGTATCGGCTTTTGATAATAATATTTCAAATTGAACAGAGGGGAATTATCCATTGAAAAATGTGCCAAAAGCAACATTAAAGCACCGCCCAACGACAAGAAGGTACCAAATGCGCTTATGCAAATCGCAGATGAAGACCCTCGAAATTTCCTAGAAAAATGAGGTAAAATGATACAAATGAGATTTATTCTGCTGCTCACAGTTAAAACATCCGGAAAAAGGGAGGTGAAAACTGACGTTTAACTGCATTTGTCACGTATGAAATCACGGCAATAGCATGCGAGGAACATATTTCATGGAACTCGTTGAGAAAATCTGAAATCTAATAAATATTTCCCGATACTTTCGCTAGCTTTCTCAGTATTGTAAATATGTTAGTTGAGGTAATCAGATCAGAAGCATTAAAAAAGTTAGTTTTTGAAAACAGCATTTTAAACCACTCAATATGCTAACGAAACTTATAAAGACCATATCTTTAGTAGGCCTTAATCAAAATCACTGCACTCCGGAATGTCAGGACTGAAATCCACGCGAAACCGGAATATCTAACTATCGCTTCAAAGAGACAGAGAGAGGTAGAAATCTTCCAGGAATACCGATCCTATCCTTTTTGTGCAAGCTTCTCTGCTTAAACTTTACCCTGCCATTACGTGGGTAAAACCAAATCTCTCGAGCACACACTACATCTTACTGAAATGTAGAACGAAGCTTTTCTTGGATATGTCATTATTAAGTAATGACTGATAGTCCTCAGTAAAGAAGTTACGGAAGGAAGAAATCCCAGAAAGAGTTGACAAAAAACTAGCATATGGAAAACCAAAACTAATTAAAAGTCGACTTCTTTTGCTAAATGGGCCACAGAAAACAGTCGAAATTTTTGGTGCGATTGATTGCATAGGCTTGAAAAGGCTGACTTCAAGGCTGACTTCGTATCTGATCTCCCAATTCTAAAGAAGCTCATCCAACATATAACTCTCTCTCTCCCTCTCAGTGATGTTAGCAAAATATATCAACATAAAATAACGCATCTTGAGAAAGCAAATTTGTTAAAAGAAGTAGACTAGAAAAGACAAAAATCCCTACGTTGCCCGATAAGGAAAAAAACCGAAGTGCGCCGGATACAGGACATCCCATCCTTTTGGATAGTAGTAAAAAAACGGATCGCGTTGTGCCATGGGGCCGAAATGAATTACCCGTTGATTACCCGACCACAAGGACGGCTCCAATTCGGCTGGTGCCGTTTGCACCATTTCATCCTTACGGTGCATCAACTGGTGCAATTTGTCTGCAATTCAGAAGTATACCAGTAATTAGCATTGAAAAATTCCCGAATTCTCAATATTATCAGTTTCATCCGAACTTATATATACTTGAAGAGAAGGTAAGACTCCACCAGGATTTGCTTATTAATATCAAACTTACTACGAGGACGTCGCCGACGCCTTGATGGATTGCGTGGAACTTTGGATGAAAAAACAAATGGGTTCGAACTCGTTCCGCATTGGGATCTACATAACCCTGACGTTGTTTTGGCATCTGCAAATGTGTTCTATTATCAACATGATAATATAGATTTATTGCTCATCGTTGAAGAATATTCAGCACCTTATGATACTAGCCAAGCTTTGTTAGATAAATTTCTTTTCCTCTGAATGGATAAATTGAAGATAATAGCTTTCCGTTCTGTCCCGAGAACTTAAAAAAAATTGTATTCCATACTTCCTCCTTTAATTTACGCAAAAAGAATGCAATTTCACATACTCCATACTTCTTCATTTAATCTATGATTTCCTCTATATTTCCTCTACAGAATTTCTTAAGAACTGGAGAACCTGCAGTGACACCAGACACCCGAACACCCAGCAACACCCACAGCCATCAAATACGTCACGTCAATTGCACGGGTCTGAATCACAAAATTTAACCGAAAAGCATTTTGTACTACTCTGACGGGCTATTATGAAACCAGTTGCGTGAGTTGTGTTTTTTCGATGAAATTTCTGATTGCTTATGATCAGCATTAGTAGGATATCCCAGGACATTATTTGGGAATTACTTTTTAATATATTTCTAGGATTTTCTCTTTATTATTATTTCGTTTCAGAGATTAATGCGCAGAAGTTAGCAAAAAATAAACGCAATAATTCCATCCAGTTTTGGTGAAGAGAGGGACGATGCAATTTACGTCATCGCTTTCGAAGAATCATTTGAAGATGCCAGTTAAAACTAATTTGGTAAAGAGTGATCAATTGCAATTCAAGGAATTCCTCCCTTTAAAATCTACGAACTATATAATGAGCAATTATGTCAAACCACGAGGTTTAGTTTTCACTTATATTTATGATATCGACATAGCTAAATAAGAAGATGGAATAGCGTTTGATTATTTGTCCTCTTTTTTTTGTCCCTAACCACACGTTTTTTCTACTAACATCATACCTTTTTTTCCTGCTTTTTCTTAGCGTCAATTTTCTCTACCTTACATTTTCTTTCCTGATAATTCCCTGTTCCTTTTCTCCGTGATATCAAGTCCCCTGGTCTTCTAACCTTATTTTTTCTTTCTGGACTGTGCACTATTCATGATGACTCCTCATTTCTTTTTTCTTTCATTTGTACATGCATCGTATCTCTAGCCATGCACAGGGTTATACCCTTCTGAGAGATAAAATGATGGCCCTATGGCTAGAATTTTGCTGGACTTTTTCGATTTTTACATAGTAATTGGACTCTTTCGCTTTTTACATAGTGATGTAGAAATTTATTCTTTTTGTTTTTGATCTGAACATACAGAGGAACGGAGAGGTTTTTTCTCCTTCTGAAAGCATGGAGGAATATCGAATATTTGATTCTATTTCAAAATTTGAGGTATTTGCAGCAGCTTATGTTCATCCTCAAAATTTCTTGCATCTCTGGTATTTTTGCTTTGGTTTTTCCATTAGTTTACTCCAGCGTTTGCTCGCTGTTTCACTATGTCTTCGGGGTTTAAATTTCTCCAAACATATCTAAAATGTTTATATAGATCTATGAAATTTGGAGGTGAAACCTGTACGAAAGAGCTACAAGCGCTTTTCGATTGTTTGAAGAAATGGGAACACGATAACCTACCTTGCGCAGACTTCAATCGAGATTATATGAATTGCGTGGACAGGACCTATAAAGCAAATAAGGAGCTTGCTGCCGCTGCAAAGAAGGTAAAATATTTGTTTTATCCTATCCCTAATTATAACTTATTCATGCCCGAGTTTTCCACGTCATCCACAGCCCTCACTTTTCATGTCCTTTTTCGTGATATTCCTTTCCGGAATGAATTGTTTCAGGGTATGCTTGACGGTACAGTCAGTGGGGAAACAGTATTGACCAAACATCAGATGAATAACTTGATGGCGAAGTATCCACAGCCTCAGCTGGGTCGATACCCATACAAAGCACTTAAGCGATTGCCGAATCAGTCATATGCAGATGACATCTTCCATCGGAAGAAAAAATATGGAAAAGCCAATTGAGATGAGTGGAAGACGTATAATGTTGAATGTAAATAAAACATTATCGAACACTTCAGTACAACGTTAGCAGATTTCAGTTGTTAGGAACAGGATTATATCAATCGAAAACTTTGGGCAACGGTGGCGAAGGTGGTTAACCCCAACTTAAAGATTTGCTGAAAATTCCGGACATTTTCCCAAATTTCTAGTTCACTGACACTACACTACACTACCTTACACACCTGATGTTTTACCTTTGAATAAGCAAGTTATATGTTTTTATTTTTATATGCTAATTCCGGTTTTGTTATTGTTCTGCTCAATAAGTTACAATAAACCCTAGTTTCAAAAGGCATTACTCAAATTTGTGGGGAATTCCCAGAAAAAGCAATGGTTCAGCCTTAGAAAACAGGTTTTTTTCATAGTCTTTAGTGAGATCTGATTTGCAGAAAGAAATTTGAAGCCTTTCACGCTATTTTTGCTTAACGTTGCCAGCATTTATTGTGTCTTTCGAAATATAATGAAGCAAACGTAATTCATAATACGTGGATGGCACTTTAAATTGTCACCTTGAAGTTATGATTCAACGCTGTATAAAAGCAAGAGCAGATGTAAATATTTATTCCCTCATGAATTTAAACATTAAAACTAGTATGTTTCGCACCACGATCTTCCGCGCTCAAGATTTCTTTTAAGTGCTGAGCTTTTGACAGTTCATCCAGAGATTGAATTATTTGATCTAAAACACTGCTCCCCTTCATAACATTTGCAACACCTTGCCAAGCTTTACCCAAACGATGATCTATAACTTGATCATCCTTGAAGTTGTATGTTCGCACTTTTTCGGCTCGTGCCTTAGTTCCTACCTAAAATATTCTCATAGTAATCAGAAATTTGCGGTTTTAGGACATATTGGTTTTTTATATACCGAATAAAGTACTACTGCTGTAATAACTTACTTGCAGTTTTCTGGATGATGAGTACTGCTTCTGTGTTTCATCAAGTTTCCGTTGTAACAGTATCGCAGCTAATCGTTTATACGCTATCTAAACGTAACAAGTGAACTCTAGATGGCATGAAAAACAGTTGCATTGCAGTGCTTGACTACAAATTATAACCCTGATTTTTTGCATTTACGTGGTGGCGATTATATATACAGTCCTTAGTAATACGATAGAGAAGCAAAAAAGAAATATGAGATAAAGTTATACCTCCATATTAGAATATTGCGTCCTTTCATCCACACAGTGCACTGCTATACCCGTTTCACGATGAGTTAAGCGGACCGCTGTAGATCGCTGATTGACATTCTGCCCACCAGGACCCGAGGCTCTCATTGTTTCTACTTTTACATCAGCTGGTGTCACACAAGCTTCTATCTGGAAATATTTCACACGTATAACTTCCTACGTTTTAAATCCTAGTTTTAAAGGAAATTCGACTACATCTGACTTATGAAACGGAAAGATGCACCTAAAACTATATTTGATTGAACAAATTGATCACACACACATTGAACAAATAGATTCAGTTGATTATACACAAACGTAAAGAATGGAATTTGCTTAAAAGGATGTGTGACAAACAGCAAAAAGAAGATAGACCTTTTCCGGTTCTGGAAGAACAGCTACAACAGACGTACTTGTATGCATGCGTGTTTTATCCGTTACCGGAAACCTCTGTACACGATGAACACCGGCTTCATAACGTAGCGCACGAAATGCTCCGTTACCTCGAACAAAAACTACAGCACTACGTATGCCTCCTGCAAAACACAGTAAAACCAGTGAAGTGGTTCTTGACATCATTTCTAAATTTTTAAAATCTTAATTTACCCGATGGTGAAGCATCCACTTGATAGGGCGTCCATTTCCACTTCATAAATTGCGCATAATTATGGTACATTTCAGCTAGTTCGGATGCGAACAGAGATGCTTCGACTCCACCTACACCTCTTTAAAAAAAGTACAATTTCTCATGATCTCAAACAAACAGCAGAAAACAAATTCAGATCTTAAACTCGAGCTTTACTAATGTAAATCTATTTTATCAACTGCAGAATGTAAATTGTGAAATTCTTTTGAAAACAAAAGATAATGTTTAGAGAAATGACAAAAAATGTTTTGAAGACAATTAAGTAATGACCAACGGAATGATTTCTAGCTGGCAGTTATTCAACGAATCATATTCGGTAACAGGTATTACGACATCGGTTAACTCGTTCACAATACTGTCCAGTTCCACCGTTAACTGTTCACTATCCAACTTGGCAATTTTTTGGATTTCTGCGTCATTTCCCTCTTTAAATGGTAAAATTACTTTTAAGGAAACGTATTCGAAGAATATGAAATTCTGCAAAATGGACATACCTTTCAAAAGCATATCCAACTCTGTGAGCATTCCCAATTTATCGTAAAATCTGCGAGCTAATGTTGTTACAGTTTCTAGGTGCGTGATCGAAGCTGAATCATTAATCCTAGACTCATTGTTTCCATCCTTCTGGAGTGCATTCAGTTTAGCGGATATAATTTGAAAATAGGTTTGTGCCGTTTCCGTACGAAGTAAATCGGCACAACGGCTCAAGAATCTTCGTTGTATCCAAAGCATGAACGACAACTTCAATACTAAATGAAGCGATAAAATTGAAAGTCAATTATCCAGATTGGAAACTGATAGAACTAACGTGTACTGATTGATATAGAAAGGATGGAAATGAAATGATGAAATTAAAATGCATCATCTGTTTGAAAAAGCCAAGGAACACAATTTAATCACATAAATATTGCCAGAATTTAACTTCATCTTAGTATTCTTAAAGTTTTCCCAACATAATTATACTTTTTCTTGCAGAAATCAAGAATTTTATGAATTGTTATTAGTGAAAATCGACCAAACGTTAACAAAATACATGAAAACTATCAGGGAAGTTCTATGGGAAAAAAAAAAATCATAAAGAAAAACATATCATGTTGGCCAAAAAAAAAGAAAGCCTTCAATTCATCCTTAATCCAGAAAAATTCCGGATGAACATGAATTCTATTAATCACAAATAATCAAACTTTAGAAAAAAAGAATTTTTTTTTCCGTATCAATTAAATGAAATTCTGACATATTATAAATTCCTTTTCAAGTAAGCTAAAATAGAATGGATTTTGGTGAGAGCGCTTCTCATGATGGACGACGAGTGAAAGATAAAACATGTATAAGCTAGACATCGATGATAAATAAAAAGACACGAAAAGATAAATACGCTAGACGATAGGTGAGATGCGATATTTTGCGACTAATTTATATGATTGATTGAATTGGTTGAATGTTATCTTGGTGGTTCTTTT